ATGAAGCACAAGACCACGTGTGTGTCTGTTTCCACACTTATACACCCTTACTTTACACATTCTCACTATACCCACGTTAATTCTATCAGACAACCTTTTCATTTCCATCTCAGTTTTCTCTGGGTCACTGCAAAGGAGGCTTTTATCAAATGAATATAATTATGACATTCAAATCTTATCAGTGTCTTCATTTTTCTCTTGAGAGAATATGATTGTTTCATTTCAGGAAAGGCTTGATTGTGAAATGAAGAGCAAACTACTGAATTCTCTGTACTCAGGAAATAAATATTACATATAAGCTTTTCCGTCCCCTTGGGAATCTCCTGGAGCTGGGAGAGCTTGTAGCCTGCCCGAGCAACTCGGAGCAGTGCTCGCCAGTGGAGCCAAAGCAAGACAGACATGCAACTACTTCAACAGGAGACTGTAGCAGCAAAGGATCAAAAGGAAACATTATCGTTAGTCGAGAAGGAGACACTCCTCCTCCAGCAAAAGCTGGTCACCCTAATAAAAACAAATGAGGCAGTAAGGAACACCAGCAGGCCTGGAAGGCACTGTCATGCGACTCTCCATCATTTATGTAGACATGTCTAATCCTTCCCAGTAAAACGAGTGGTCAGGGTAAAGGGACTGGCATTAATGGGAAGAGAAACTGAGTCAAGACAGAGTTTTGGGTTCTTAGACAGGAGGTCTCTTCTGTGTGTGCACTGACACCAGTTCCCCCAGGTCCGCCCACCGTGGGAGCAGGCTGCAGACACAGAGAGGGACCAGTGGTCGGGATGCACACTGATGACCCCACCTGCTTTCCCCTGAATTAGCAGGTGGTATTTCCACAGCCAGCTAAGGGTGTAACTGTGCATTTCCCCCTCTTTCTTTATTGTTTAACCCTTTGAAAGTACACCAGCCAGCATCCTAGCAATTGCCAAATCTGTGTGTGCGCATGCATGTGTGTGCGCGTCTGCACATGTGTGTGATTTACCTGCGTGTGAATACTCTGACAGTGACATCATACTTGACATTACTATCTTCCATGAGCTGTATTCACAGAGAAGACTAATTGAGCAGAAACGTGATTTTTACAAGTAATCTATTTTTCCTTTTAACCATGCAGGGGTTGTTTAGAATTGCTGCCTGATCACACATTTGTAGCTGGATTCCTGGGATTGTAACGCTGGAACCAGGCTGTCATTAACACTTGCACTCTCTTCTGACAGAGCATAGCAGTTTGCATTGCAATGAGAGGGCCATTGGTGGCCCTGAGGTGGGGGCAGGTGGGGAGCGGATTTTAGAATGTCAAGGTATCCCGGAGCCACAAACACATCAAGCTGCTTAAGTGCTATCTTTAACCCATTGCAGTTGGCAACCGTCAGAATGCAGAGGAAGCCAGAAGGGGGAACAAGTCGCCTTTTAGAAAGAGCTCAGGGATTGATTTTTCCATCCGTCACTTGAATGAGTGGTTCTCTCCGGAGGGTGCAGGACCAGGCTGCTCTCTAAATGCTGGGAGTGTCTATGGATTTGAATAATGGATTAGGAAGTGCACAAACATCACGATCTTCAGTTTTCTCCTGCTGAATCAGGACAGCTTGTCCAAAGCATCAGAAAGGAAGCTTTCCTTTACCTTGGAAATGCTGTGACAGGGGCCTGAATAATGACATTGCAATAGGGAGCAGGTCCCCAAAGACCAGTGTCGAATGAGGCTGAACTGGATCAGAGGCAGTCAGCGACAGGCGGGTGGGCCTCTGAGTACTTTTCTGCTTGTCATTGTCATCCCCTTAAGGGCGAGCGTGGGGGCAAGGGACTGCAAATCCACAATGCTTTAGGGAGAGTGGGTTGTGGGGGGTGGGGCGGGGGAGGGATCTAATTATTTTCCGACTAGGCTTTAGTAGAGGTCCAAAGTTTATATGGCATCTGAATTGAAGCCTATGAATCATTTCCAAAAAAATAATGACGTTGTTCAGACCACAAGGATGGTAAATTGTATTAAAATCCAATCCTATAGCTTAGGAAAGGATTACATACTAAAAACAGGCTACAGGAGCCAATGTAAACAGTCCAGGCCTTCAACACTTTCTTTGAAGAGAAAAAAAAAAATTTACCTACAGAGATTATGGGAAAAGCTGTGGGGAGGGGTCAGCTGGTTGGCAAGAGAGGGTTGGACATTGTGTGGGAGGGGTAGCATGGCCAAGTCATTTTTCTTGTCAATGAACTCCAACAAATAGTCACAACGGTGGAAGGAAACATCTCCTCTCTCCTTCCAAACAAAGACCTGAGGGAGCAGCCGTACACGAGGCTATGTAAACAGGACACTTCTTCTGATCCCAGGAGTTAACAAAGACAGTGCCAGGAAAATGAGTCACTCAAGCATCGCCATGAAAGCCACAGCTGAAGTTGGGGCTGAGTCATCTGAGAATCAGATCTAAACTCACATCCCTGCCTCCTCGTCCAGCTCCCCAGATGGCGCAGGTGAAATGGACTCCTAGCTTTGCCTCCTGTGAACATTGGCTGTGGGGCTAAATAAGCCAGAAGAGTCAGGACTTTTGTAAAGGATTTTCTTAACTGTAATTTTCCTCACTGAATTAGCCCACTCAGACTCTCAGCCCTCCTTTCTATCTCCAGGGCTATCCAGACTGGTGTACAGACTGGGGAGAAACTGCACCCAAGATGATAGCAGACTCTGAGGAGTCCTCCATAAGTGATCCATGAAATGACCCATGTGCCCGTCTGGCCACCTCATCACCATTGGGTGAATAGCAATCTGCGTACACAGAACACCTTTCCTCTGCCTCCTGAGGCAAGAACTTGGGTCTCCCAGAGCTCTCTTCAATCTCTGACCACCATATTTCATGCTGGCTCAGTCGGCCAGTGTGCCTAAGACAAGTCCTCGGCTAAAACATAGTCATTGCCGTCAAACAGCCAATAGTCTTTATGGTAAGATAAATTATGTAAAGTAATAACTTTCAAAGATAACACAACAAGAAAATAAAAGAATTTATAATAGAGGATCAAAGTGAGTATATAGATAAAAGTTATAGAAGACTCAAGTATAAAATTTAAAGAAATAATATTTATGTATATTATTGGTCAGAGAGCACAACCTCCATTTACAAGATGAATAAGTTTTGGAGATCTAATCTATAGCATAGCAATCATAATTGATGATACTGTATTATATGCTTGAAAGTTGCTGAGAGAGTAGATTTTAAATGTTCTCACCACAAAAAAGAAATGGTAATTATGTGACATGCAGGTGTTAGCTGACACTATGGTGGTAATCATTTCACAATATATGAGTGGAGCAAATCAACAGGTGTACACCTTCAACTTGCTCAATGTTGTATGTCAGTGATATCAATATAAGCTGGAAAAATAAATAAAAAAATATTTATTTATAAATATATATACATACATAAGATGTGCACGTGTGCATGTATGTGTGCTGTGTGAGACAGATTTTAAAATTGAGGTGGGATGATCCTGAAGCCTGTCGAAATGGGTGATATTGAGACAGGCGGAAAGGAAGAAGGAAGATACTCCATAAACAGTGGAACAGAGGGTTGCCTGAAGAGCAAAGTGAATGCTGTTTTTTACCCACAAGCACCATGTGAGCTGCTCTAAAATGTTTGTTTAATCCCCACAACCCCTGAAAACTTGGTACAGAGACTCTCTCCAGCACGGCCAAGGTTACACTTGAGTATAGAGGAGTTGGGACTTGCAACCAAATTCTTCCTGACTTCAAAGTTCATGCTGTCTATGCTGCATGTACCAGGTTAAAGCAGATATGTTGAGAAGCTGGCAGCTTCCACTGTTCCCGTGTCTCAAGAGCATGAAGGAAAATCCAACAGGCAAAAGATTTGCATGTTATTAGATAATTTTTATGTACACATTGAAATATAGAATCTCTCTTTGACTTCAACTTTTAATTTTTCACATATATGCTTTCATTTGTTACTTTGATTGCAAAATTGAACACCTCCAACATCGACCAGCTTGAGTTCAATGAGAATTCAAGACTAAAGGATCATCTTTTTCCCCGAAGCCTAATGATTCTCACCTTTGTCTCTATTTTATTAAGCTAAGGAAATCTACTCTTTTATCACTAGCCTCAACCTTCATCCTCCTTCTTAATTTTTTTTTTTATTTCACAGCAAAATGTAAATAAAGTGTTCAAATAATGACAAGCACCATTGTCAAAGATGGTGATGCTGATCAAATTGCTTTCTTGGCCAGAAAAACAGCACCTGCATGTAACAGTATCAAATATTTGTTTGGGCATTGACCTATGGAAATTCCGAATGCCAGTGTTGGTTATGACAAAATGGGCCTCTGCTTTTTAGCAATTTGTAAATGTGGAGAATAATTTATTCTCCTTGAGAGTACAATAATTTCGTATTAATACACTCATCTATATACATGTTATTCTGCTGAGCATATAATCATAAGCAAAACAAAAAAAGCCTTTAGGTATTCCTCTAAACCAGAGATTGAAAAACATATTTATCAATATGCAATTTGACATATGATATATGATGCATATATCAATCAAGAGAATTATCATGTTTTTGTAGAATTGGTATGATATTTAAATTCTGATTTCTTGGTAGCCTGTATGGGACTTAGGGCTACCGTGGAGCAATAACATTATAGGAGCAAGTTGCCTTGGGATAGTGGAGTTGGAGACAAGTAGAATTCCTTACCCTATATCGAAATGAGTCTAAAGAAATACGTACTTGTAGTTTTGTTGTGACAAAAGCAAACTAGAGTTCACAATAGGAAAAACGACCAAATTTATGAGCTGGAATATTTTTTGCATTTATATTCTAAAGAACCTTCATTACTAATAATGACCTATATTTTAATCACTTAAGGTGAAGGATATCTAGCTATCCACCTATCTATCTCTTTATCGTAGTTCCAGAGGGATAGAGATGTATATACGGGTTTCCCCCACTATCCGAAAGTTCACTTTACACCACTTTGCTTTTAGAAAAGATCTACATTAGTACCTGTTTTCCATAACCGAAATAAATCCAAAGATGATTTGCTTTTTGAAAGTACGTTGAGTGTTTGGCAGCAAGCCATTATGGAGGCTAAGCAGTCAAGCATCATGTCCTCTCTCAAGCCTTCCACATCAACCACAGCAGCCAGAGCAGCCAGTGAATCCCGACCCTCGACATGGAGGCAGGCAGACCTAGAAGAAGGTGGAGACGTTAGCGACCTGCCTGCCCTGATGGCTTCAGACGACAGAGATGTTAATAGCTGACCCTCTTCCTCTCTTTCCTACACCCCACTCTCTTGTACCTCCCACCACCCCAACCTCCGACTCAGCCTAACCCTCGTCTCCACCGCCACCACCCTTTCGAGTTGGAGCGTACTCGCTGTCCTCCGGGTTCTGGGAAGTGAACCGCAGAGTACGTAGTTTCTGCTTTATGTAGGCTGTGTAGTCATCATATGGTTCCTGTTTTCACTGTGCTAGTGGGAGTTTAGGTTTACGTGTTATTTGGTGTGATGTGGTAGATTATTTTTTGGGTCCTGGAATGCTCAAAAATGCTTCCTCTGTAAATTAACGGTAACTGCTTCTTCGCGTGACGCCATCTTGGTTTACGAAAGGTTTCATAGGAACGCTCTGCTTTTAGATAACGGGGAAACTGTATATGTATAAATATATGTAGGAGGGATGAAGTTTAGTTCACAAACGGAAGATGCAAGAGATATCGTGGTTCCCTTTTCTCTAGATGATGTTTAATTGCCTCAGAGTTCTCACCAGGAAATATAGGAATTTCTATGAGTTATTTTGGAGCTCTCTGTCTACATACAAAGATTTAAATATGAAGGAGGCTGAAGTCTCAAACTATGGAGGCTGTCATTTTAAAAATTGCTTCTATAACCATATGATGTTGTTGTCACCTGCCAGTCCTAGCCATCTGGCTCTTTAAAGCTGCTGCTCTAAGCTGGCTCTGAGATGACCCTCATAGAAACTTCCCTACTGACCTGATATCCCACTGCTGTCCCTTATCTAGAGTGGTGGCCATGCCACCAGTCTCTGCCATGCCATGATCTGTTCTCCGCAGTCTCGGGAGAGGTTAAAACCTTCCCTCTGGGGTGGAAGCTTCCATTTCCCCTATTCAAAGTGCTTCCTCCCATCTGTCCCCCTCATCGTCCCCCTCCTTGGCCTTGAGAAAAATAACTGCATTTTCATTATTAACTTCCTCTGTTATGCATGAACTTTCAGCCTGTAGAATTCTAAAGTTTCTTTCTCACTAACCCTGTTCTGAAAAGTCCTTGGGGCAGTGTACGGCATTCAGCAAAGCCGTAGGCGCTGTGAGTCCACCCAGGCCAGCGGGCATGGGAGCTCTCAGTGCTGTGGCTGCTCCCCGGTTTACTGTACGCTGTGTTTAACTAGCAGATCATTTCGAATCCAGTCATTGAAAACAACTATTTAATCGAAAGCCACGATTTAGTTGACTCGGATCTTTTTGAGCTTTCCTCTCATCTTTTCCCTTCTCTCCACGCCCTGGCCAAAGGGATGAGGAGCTGAGCAAGCTGGAGTGATATGTTCTTCTTGAAATGACTGCTTTGCCGTTGAATTGTCTGGATAATTAATTAAAAAATCAAACTGCTTGGTTTCAGGTAGACATATCCCTTTGCAAAGGTCATTTGATATTGGATGCTAGGCGTCTCAAAGATTTACAGTAGAGAAAAGGAAACATAGTTGTTAAAATAGCCTTGTACAGTAGCTATAAACAGACTTTTTAACACAAACTGTACAGTGAGTACAGTGTTTAAATCCATAAAGATTCTTTAAATAGAGTATTTCTGTAATGCAGCATCTTGTGTTTTCATATTTCCCATCATATTCAAAAATATTCTTCAACATAAAGAAAACGTACAATATATTTGCATAGTAGGAATGAAGAGTTGACAACAGAGTCTGTAAAGAAACTGGAATAATAAAATATAATACTTTCTGATTTCTGTATATTCTAAAGGTGAGTGTTTATACTTATAAATCATTATATACGAAGTCACTATCAAACTCATGATGTTTTTAAAAATAAAGTAGCAGTGTTTTGTTTAAATGCTGGAGTCACAAGGATTAAGCTGTGATAATTTTCTTGAGGACATGTAGGTGCCTAAGTGACACATGCGCTTGTGGGTTATTCTTTATAGTGAGAGAAAAGACTAAGCAAAGGTAATAGAAAGCAACTCTAGTAATCACTGAAAAGTTAATCAAGGCCTTGCTTATACATCTATAGATAAAGAAACCTACTCACTTTTTAAAAAGATATTTTGCTTTCTTTAAAATCGCTTATAAAAATGATTAGGCATTTTAATTTTTTTAATTAAGCTTGCATTTCATCCGTGTTACACTTACTCACAGGAACAAGACTGTGGTTTGTGGATGGCTTCAGGCAACATTTCCCTGATTCATTCGATAAATATTATTGTGTTAGTTACTAAGCAATAAGCTGCGAATAAGACAGACACAGTTTAAGCCCTCATACAATCAAACCCAAGCCATTATTAAATTGATAACGATTATGCTTCACTGTGTGTATAGACACAGTTTCCTGATTTTGAGTTAGCTGATTGCTCTTCCTAGATGTACGTGCTGGGAACACAGACATTTTATTTCTAGCCATAAACTTGGCTATACGTTAACTCTTTCACTACACACTACCTGTGCCCTGTTCTCTCTATGGTTCCATTATTCCAAGAAAGCCAGAAGTTCCTTCCAAAGATAACTGGATAATTCAAGGAGAAAATTCAACAACATTTGACAAGGAATGTTTTACAATTAATGTTGAGCCTTAGTCAGTTTATTCGTGATCTACTGCTAAATTTTGCTTCAAAATGGTAATTCTCTACACAGTCCAATGCTCTTATTTCAGGAAGGCTGTCAATTTGTAATATTTTGAAAATAGAGTAGAATTGGAAGTTGTTACTGTAAGTTATTGCTGCATAACAAACAAAACCAAACCTAATTATATAAAGCAAAAATCAGTTTATGATGGTCGTATGTTCTGTATGTCAGGAATTGGGAAAGGTGCAGTGCAGGTGGCTTATCTCTGCTGACAATGTCTGAGGTCTCAGCTGAGAAGACTCAGGGACTGGAGGTGACTCCAAGGCTGGACTGGAATCTTCTGAGAGCTCACCCACTCACAGGTCTAGACATTGATGTCAGCTGTTGGCTGGACCTCACTGGGGGCTGTCAGCCAGAACACTTACATGTGGCCTCTCCCTGTGATCTTTCCTCCTCTTCAGAGCCTGATGACCGGGTTCTAAGAGCCAGCGTCCAGGCAGACATCGTATCACTTTATATGACTCAGTCATGTGGTGTCGCTCTCACCATAGACATGGCCTGCACAGCAGCAAGGGGCCCGGAGACCCACATCAGAACAGGAGGGGTGTCAGTCTTATAATGTAAGAAGAACATGGAGCCTGAGGCATCTTGTTGTGGTCATATTGGAAAACTCAATCTACCACAGAACAACTAAAAATTAAAGACATATTTCTCATCACATATTTTGTTTATGAGTATTATGTAGTCTAGGACTGAAGGACTCTAATAATGATAATAGTAATAATAAATTAATAACAGTATATGTCATATATATTAATATAATATATAAATATAGTAAGTTAAAATAAAAATAATGCTTAATTTTTTTATATCATAACTATGAAAATTTCACTAAATGTGCTTTTTATGACTCATTAGCGGATCATAAATCAATTTACAAGATAGAATTTAAGGACTATCATTTTTAAACAATTGAAATGTCATATGTTAAAATAGGACTATGAGAATGCTTGGCACATAATAAGATAAGTATTTCTTCAAGAAACTTTTGTTTTAATTGTGTGTGTGTGTGTGTGTGTGTGTGCGTGTACTTGGCAATGAGTTAAATGTGTATCTTCCTGATTTTCAGTCAAAAAAAATTGAAATCCACTTCTCTAAACTATAGTAAGGGACTTCTAGATAAATAAGACAAATTGTGAACAAAGAAAAATAAACAAGATTAATTGCATAAGATTTTTGTTTATAAACTGGTTAAAATTAGTCTACTCTTTGTCAGTGAAAATTATTTTACTTTAAAATAGATCAGATCCTTCTCAGAGACCACTAAAGATGTCCATTGTCTGTTCACGATGCCTTAAGTTTAAATGATAAAACCAAATTTTCTTACATATAAGTCTTTGCATCACTTCTTCATCTCTCTAAAAGGGAAGGAAGTCGGGGAAGGGCAAAGGCAGTTCTTTCAAAGGAGCTAAAGATCATCAAAAAACAAGGTTAAAAGGATGGAGAATGTAACTCTTGTTTTATTTTTCTGAAAGCCCATTCCATCGGATCTCCCATTTTCTGGGATATTATAGGACATAATCTTTATGAGCCTTTTTTCCCCTGATTTTTTCATTTTTATTTATTTAGTTAGTTTTTGCTCTTTATAGCTTCTGTCCTTGGCAGCAATCTTCTTGTTTTTGACAACTTATTAACTACCGTGGGCACACTTGCAAAGTGATGTTCAATGCCAGCCACAGTATGTTTGATCTTCCACATTTTAAAGTCCAACACCCATGGGGACAGAAAGAGTGGTGCCAGCAGCATTCCAGCAGCCCGTAAGTTAAATCAATTTTTTAAAAAATATACATGGCTTCATTGGACATTCCAATAGTGCCCAGTCTGAATGGGGATTTTCTTATTTTTCTTATTTCATTTTTTTTAAAATTTAAGGTGTACATCATTATATTTTTATTTCTATATAGACTATATCATGTTTGCCACCCAAAGTCTAATCGCCATCTGTCACCATACATGTGTCCCTTTCCTCCTACCCCCTTCCCCTCTGGTGAACAACAATTTAATCTCTGTAGCTATGTGTTTATTTGTTGATGTTGTTCTTATCTTATGAGTGAAATCCTACAGTGTTTGTCTTTCTCAATCTGCCTTATTTCACTTAGCATAATGCCCTCAAGGTCCATCCATGTTGTTCCAAATGGCAAGATTTCATCTTTTTTTTATGGTCAAGTAGGATTCCACTGTGTATATGTACCCCATCTTCTTTATCCATTCCTCCATTGGTGGACACTTAGGTTGTTTCCAAGTCTTGGAATTCCAAATACTTGAAATCAAGTATTGTGAATACTGCTGCAATGAACATAGGGGTGCATATATGTTTTCAAATTAGTGTTTTCCTGTTCTTTGGATAAATACTTAGAAGTAGAATAACTAGATCAAATGGTAGTTGTATTCTTAATATTGGGGAGAATCTCCACACTGTTTTCCACAGTGGCTGCACCAGTTTACAATCCCACCAGCAGTGTATGAAAGTTCCCTTTTCTCCACCTCCTGATATTTCACCCTCCCTGACCTCAAACACTTCTGTAGGATGATGAAAGAACAGGGGGATCACACATCCCAGTTCGCCTAGAAAAGCCTCAGTGTATACAGCAGTGTTCCCAGAGTGATTATTAATTATGTTTCTTTTAACATACAAAACAGTCTTCATTTGGGCAATAAATTCTATGTCCACCTTACTAGTGAGGAACTGGGGAAATTAAAAACAAAAGTGTTTAATGTAAAAAATTAAACTCTATTCTATTTGAGCTTTTGTATAAAAGAGAAGTTACTGATATTCCACAAAATAATAGATAGTATTTGAGTTTTAATCTTGAAAAATGTTTCCTAAATAGAAACTCTAGATTGATGTCTCGATCTGTATAATAACTAGTCACATTTATTTTGGTGAAAGCCAATAACGGTGAGAGGAGAATCACGAGGGCAGACTTTGGGGATTGCTACCCCACGTGGGTCAATCCTATAATACTGCTTATAAACCGTGTGCCCTCAA